TGAACGGAGGAAATGAGCATCAGCTTTTGATGTTCAGCTTTACTCATTAAATGTGAAACTCTTACATAAGCCCAGCAAAGGGCTGGCAAAGGGTTTAATTAGCAATATAACCCTACTGAAAGTACTTTCAAGTTCTACATGGAATTTTAAGAGCCTTTTTACAACTGTCAGGACAAAGTGGAATTTTATTTGAGAATTTGTAGTAGGTAGTATGTCAGTTGAAAAACGTCTAGAAATGTGGCTGAAAAATAGACTAGTATCTGCCCAGATGCCAATTCAATTTTATGCCAATTTAACAACAGACTACTATTACGGAGATGTTATTGTAATTAATCTTTCTCTGTACTTAATTTCATTGTTAAACTAACATGTAATAAATAATGCTTTAGCTTCAAGGTGGAGATTCATATTCCTTATTTTAAAGCCGAACAAATTATCTTCATTGAAATTGCAAGACAGTATTTATGAAGAAGATACTGAACATGCCTGCTGTGAAAAGTGGTGCTGCTGATAGGAAATTATCTGTAAAAGTTTATATGTATCATATGTTTTTGTCTAGATTTATACCTATTATGTGTAATCATGCAAAAGAAACAGATCTCCTCTATCCCTGATTATCTAGGAAATGAATGTTCAGGCCAAATCCCTTGCATAGCCTCCCACCATAGTCAGCAGAGAGAAACATGTCTTAGACAACCATTGTACGCTGAGATGACCCTGGACGTGCTCCTCTTTCTCTCCATTTACAGCAGAAGCAGCAATCAAGCCTTAGTCTACATCCCTGACTGTGCTGTTAAAGGGCACGAATGCCTAGATGTCACAGAATGTATTTGCTGTGACAAAACTAGTAAAAGAGGCAAGAAGTTGAAAAATGCCATCTGGAGATACCAAAATTCATCTGTTTGGAGACTTTTCATTTTAGCCTTCCTGGATGGCTAAAACTAAAATGGAGAAGATAAGACAAGTATTTGTGTATATCAAAAGAATAGTTATTTTACAAAAATCAACATTTTCAGCCTTTTGTGATATATAGGTCAATCCTGCTTCCACAAAAAGGAGTAAAAATTTTGTAGTTTTCATCTCCAAGGACTAAGCAGAGAAGAACAAGGATGAAGCCCCCTGTTTTACTTTATCTGACAAGTTGATGGAGTGGTGGAGACGTTTCAATTCATTTGTCTTTGTATATAGAATATGACATCAAAATCACTTAATTTGTTTTCATTATAATACATCTGAATTTTCCACCTGTGTTTTGCAAAACACTATACTGTACCATTTGAGGATATGACACTGCTTGAGCTCATGATACATGATCTGCCTTACTACTCATAATTTAATACTTATTGATACGTAGCCTAACAGAACTGCAAATTTAACATGAGAGTAGTAAGAACTATCATTTCCATCAGAATCTCTGAAATGCTTCACAATGAAAGCTGATTGCATCTGCAGTTTTTAAGATGGTTAACCATAGCTTTTTTTCCCTTTAATAGTTTTCCAGATGAAGTATTTTCTAAGGTGTTATAGTTTGCTGTTTATTTAACTTTTGATAATTCAATAATGAACAAGTTCCCCATTTCCCTTTATAAAAACAAAACCATTAGTGTCTAACACAAGAGAATACTGAGCAGAGAGTAAAACACAGCATCATGTTTGAACATTGATCTAAAAATAACACATTCATATAGCACCTTAGTGAATTATCTTTATCATAGTACATATAGTAAATATGCTAAAACTGTTTTGCCTGAAAGTTACTGCTTCTGGTTTTGTTTATTCTGCACTAAACTAAGGGCTCAGTTCTTCTTTTAATTCACAGTGAGTAGTATTTCACTTCCCCAAAATTCTCTATGTCAGAGGGATTACACTATGTGAAGAAAGGTAGATGACAAACTGGCTTTTAGTTCAGAAAAGAAAAAAAGGCCCGAGGACATTATACAACGAGGAATCCCAAACAGTGCCAGTAGGACCAATACACCTATGTTAGTGAAGAACAGATCCCTCAGTGTGCAGACCACAGTGTAATATTTTCAGTATTGTTGGCATTTCGGTATGAAAATACTGACGTTCAGTCCACAAATGAAAACAGGAAATACACATCAACAGAACCAACTGTATACACCAATGAATGGAGCTTTGTGATGCTACTAATCTTTTGCTTCATCAGTGAAAAAAAGGAAAATTCAAAGTTTGAGAAGTATTAGTGAACAAATCCATGTCTGATTAAATATTTCCTCTTCAGAAGGCAATCACTTTTCTTAGCACATGAAGAAAAAAATGTATCTTCAAATACATCTTTCTGAAATCTGTCTGAAAACCAGTTTTTGCTGTTTTTTGTTTGGTTGGGGTTTTTTTTCAAAATCTGGCAACCTTTTTCATGTGAATGAGTTGGATAAAATACGCATTCTGTGAAGGAGGAGCTTGGACCCATGTACAAAGGTGAGTCTCAAAACACTAGCTTGCAGAACTGCATACTTGCCTCTCCTGGAATAAATGTATTGTTAATTATTTTTTCCAAATCAACTCAAATTCAACAGGAAGGGTGGTGCATGCCTCTCATTCCCAGCACATACCACTATCCACACCCAAGGAAAGCTTCCTTTGAGGGCATTCACTTGGCATTTGTGGGTTTGACCCTCTCAGTCTGGTAACAGCCAGATGAGAGTTCTCACTGCTAAGCCATGATATCGAAGATGAGATTCATTACTACTGTTGTTTTAAAAATGAAAGCAGTTTTGTTCAGCTCCTAATTAAAAAATACCATTGAAATTACTTTGGGCTTATGTTGAGAGCATTTAATTTGTACTAGCCATTCATATTGTGCATGGTTTTGATTACAAGAACATTTTAAACCTTGGGATTGAGTATATTTTCCATTCCAGTTTAGAAGATTGGTTTGGACATACTGCATTTCTGAATAAAAGTAAAGGTAATGTTCCTGGTTAACACAGGTATGTTTGTTTTGGCACTAATAGTTAATGATCAAGGAAAGGAAAAATAGAAGAATGACAGTTCATTAAAAAAAACTGGTGTTGATTAATGACTAATTATCAACTAATTATTTGGTGGTCATGGAAGATCACTGCTAAAAAGCAAGTCCTTCATAAGTATTTATAATCATCTGAGATTAGCATTTATTTTTCATTTTAAAAGAAAGTTATTTTCCTTTTCAGATTGAACATGTATGCCACTTTTAATCTATTTTACTGAAGATATGTAGATGAAGAATAGAGGTTTTGGTGTGTCTTAAGGAACAAAGAAACAAAGACTTTCTTTGAGAAAAGGATGCTTTTCTGAATTATGTAGAAGCATATACCAGAAGATTTATTTTAAAATGTACCTTACCTCTGTATTGGGGGATTTGCCAAACCTGGACCTGAATTTATCAGGATTTATGAACCAGGAAAAGCCATTCCATTGCTGTTTTGTGTAGATTTTTGAATAATTTACCTTTCTGAAATAGCCATGTTAGGTTTGGATGTATTGAGTACAGTAGTTAGTTCACTCTTGGTCAGTGCAGGCTTTCTTGAAATTTAATCCTTGCCTTCCAGGTTTCACTAAAACCCATACATGCAGTTAGATGATAAGCACAGTATTCAGGAGACTGACAATACACTGTTCATCTGTGTCACACTTGATACTCATGGATTTCTTAGTGTGTCTACTTGAGAGAGGCTGGAGATTCTGCTAATGCAAATGTATGCATATAGTATAAATCATACAGCTCTACAGCCTCCCTGTGTGTTGCACTAAAAGTCCAGAGTTGACACTGAAGTCATGAGGACTGAGGGTACTTTCCTGCTAAAGCTAGGCAAAATAAGCTTACAAGGAATAACCAGAGGCAGTGGGAAGATGTCTACAAAACTAACATGATAATTAGAAAACTGAAGGAAAAAAAACCCAACTAATTTAGAAACATTTTAATTTTTCATTGATTCAGGATTCTTCCTTTTGCATCTGCTCTATTGGCTAGGATCATCTGGGAAAGACTGGTAATTACGTTCACCTCCAATTGATTAACTGGTACACTTCACGTTTGTATCATACATGGCCTGGACATGTAGATATGGAAGGCATAACAGTCCTTGGAAAACATGCTGTAGTACTCAGCTGTGTGCAAAATCAAAGGGAGTTCTGCATGTTGTAAAGGAACAGGGAATGTTGAAGCTGAGGTCTGTTAAGATGCCTGTCTTAGAGAACAGTGTTGTCCTTGAGGTGCTTGGGTTTGATAGCGACATCTGTACTCAAGCAGAATGCTTGCTTACTGTGAGGCATTTTGTTCGAATAAGGAGAGTAAATTGGTCCCCTAAGTAACAAAGAATCCAAGTAGTGCTCGTTTCAGTGAAAGGACCCAGGAAAAAGAACAAAGGATATTTGTTGAGACAGAATAACAGATGCAATTATCTATTTTTTACATAGTTGTCATGTCAGATTTATAATTTTACATACATTCCCTTTTGAAAAGAAGTTGCAATGATTAGCCACACTATTTTATTACAGTGCTCAGAATGAAACTGCCAGTTTCAGGACAGATTTCCTTGTCACAACTGCCTTTATAAGAAACACATCACCAACTATTGTACAAACGCATACTACCAAAACATTTTAAATTTATATGTGCGTAAGGTGCAATCCAATTTCTTTTCACAACGTACTGGTCATAGCTTTAAACCTTTTGGTAATTATAGGATGTTTTGTTTTGTTCTGTTTAGTCCAGAAGATCTCTCTTACAGAGAAATGATAATAAAAAAGGGGTTCAAGATCTCAAGAGAGGTTCGAGAACTTTGCATTTCCTATAAAATTCAAAAGTGTCAACAAATAAGTGTTTGTATATTGCCTGGCCAAACTAGTAAAAAATAAATTGCTTTGCTTGTTTTGTGATTTCCCCAGATCTTCCGTGTCTCTAGTGAAGAGTTGGAAATGTCAGTTTTTCTGGAGAATGGCACCAGTTGGGACCCAGCTGATTGTATGCACTCTGTACCTTCTCAGGTGGTTTTGCTTTATTGATTTGGCATTTGAGAAGTCCAGACGCTAATGCTCCTAATGATCAGCCATTCTTTTTGACTTTTGGTAACAAGTATTCTCATGCAGTTAATATCAAACAGAACTTTGTGCTCTACATCTGTTATTTCAAAATTCCCATTTTTGAATTCCCCTAGTCTCAAGTAAGTAGTACACTGTCTCCCTTTTTTACTCCCTACGATCTTTTCTCCTACTTCCAGGGCCCCATGATGCAAAATGTCATTTTGCCGGTCTTCAGTTCCAGTGACAACTTTAATTTTATTGATTTTAATGGGCTTTTCAAATACAATCCCATAGAAGTCTCCTGTAGAAGGAGCTTTGCCCCAGAAGTACTCATCAATGCTGCTGTAAGCCTTGCTTGCCTCATAGTTTTCAAATACATTCATGTTGGTGTGCAAGTTTGCAGGTGGGTTGTCAGGGATATCAAAAGATTCCTCTTCAAAATCATCATCCTTTAGCTTGTTTTCAGCTCCTTTGTAAGACGAGTAGTATCCCATGTGCTGGAAAAGAGATGGCTTAAAACGTATCACTTCCTTCTGAGCTAACAGCCCACGAAAGTGGATGAGCAGCCAATCGCAAGGCATTTCTTGGTAGAACATCAACAAAAAATGGGCCAGGCGTGGGAGGTCATGGGAATGGTAAAGCTTTCCAATGTACCCCAGTTTGGAGAATTCCAAAGTCACCCAGTAGGATCCTTCTCGTGAGGTAATTACTTTCTTAACAGCAGTCAAAAAATTCTTTGAGCAGCGAACGTCATCTTCTAACATCACATAGTAGTCAGAAAGATTAGCACAGAAGTTAAGAAGGAAAGCATAATCTACATTTTGTTTGGATCGAAACTTCACACGGTCCTCTGGGTCATTGTAATTTCTCTTGAGGCCATCCAGTACAGGATAATATTCTTCAGGGACGTGAATAACTATTAATCTGCCCGCAATTATGTGATGTGCAAATTTCTGTGAAATATCCTGGACCATCCCTTCACACCAGGCTGAGTCAAAATCTGCCAGCTGCACTACCACTGCGATTTCTTTGAGTTCCTCATAACTTGACTGCTCAAATATGGACTTGATGGTCTCGAGCAAGTAGTTTCCCTTTTTCCGTTTCACAGAGGATAGCCCAATTGTAAGATACCCTGTACAACAGAGAATTCAAACAAAACCTGAGTATCTGACATTGGAAACCATTTCGCCACAAAGCTATCCTCCAGAGCTGTGCTTATATGAAATAAACCTTTTGAATGGTGAAGACTGAGAAATTTGGGGTGTGAACTTATGAAGCTGCATGCAACGAAGGACATTTATTGCCTTTTCATGAAAGAAGAATCATATTGCAAGCAAATAGACATATGGAGACTATTGCATTAAACATTCACTTGTTAACTGCAAGGAATGGCACGTAGTGGACAAAAGCCAAAGCAATGTGCATGTATGTGCCTGGTAGAGGAAACCCACAATGATAAGGATGTAAAATCTGTTAAAAGAAAGGGGATTATGAGATATGATACGCACAATACTTTTAAAACAAGGAGCTACGAAATGCAGCACAAAAACGTGAGCTATAAATTGCCAAACTTACCATTTTAAGCACTCTACAAGACTAGTTACACTTATGCATAACTTTACAGTTTTATGAATGTTGCATGGATAATTTTTTTCTGCATGTTCATTTTTAACTGAATTTGTCCAATTTTTGCTTGCTAATAGTTCTCCTAACCCTCTTTCAGGACTCACTGAGCATCTTACAGGGAACTCTCTCTCACAAGATGTCATTTAGATACTATTTTAAAGTAGAAGAGAACTTACTACTACATACCTGTGCTTGTATAAATAATTTTTAATGCTGTTACATCTTTCTAGGGAGAGATGCATCTTAATTATAAGGGAAGAATTTTAATCTCTGCTGTTTTGGAGTTACTGCCATTGCATTTTTTTCTAGCAGTCCAAACCAGTTTTTTCAGAGATTTGCTAATGTATCTCTATTTTTATAACTTCTGATGTAAAAAAAGTTAAGACTTTATAATTGACAGGGCGTACTTTAGTTGAACCTACCCCAACTTTTTAAAAATATTGCACTTTGTAAAAGACTGCTCTGATAAAGTGATTCAGAGTTTCCCTTGAGGCTTAAGTCTGCTCAAAATGCAGTTGTACAGTGAAGTACAACCCCCAGAAGCCATTTATGCTGCCTACACAGCCCCAAATTTCTCAGATCTAATTTGAACAAACTTTACTTTATAGCTTTCTATGAAGATCAACACCTCACAGACGATTTTATTTTACCTTCTGTGCTTGGACTTCTGAGCCTTGTTTATGTTGGTGAAATGATTGATTTGGAACCCAAAGGACACCTGTCTAAAAGCTAGGTATGGCCATATTTCACTTCAAGATGAAAGTCTTGAACCCTGCCTGAAGTTAGAATAACTAGATTGTCCATCTGCGAGAAGAATCCTCCTTTACTGTCCCCATAATGGCACAATTCACCTCCCTCATTATCACAGCTAAAGCAACACGGACATCCATTCACAGCTGCTGGACCAGCAGAACAGGGGACCTGATGGGTGTAGCTAGGTGATCCCAAGCATACCTTAGATTGGATTTACTGGTTTTACAGACAGAGGCCGACAGTACGGTCTCAGAGGGTGTTTGCAGAGCACCACCAGCACCTGCCTTGCTCCCGCTTTCTAAATCATCTCCCTCATGCCTGGGGGGAGATGCACAAAAATCGGCTCGCACAGACCATCCAGGGGCTGCCTGCAAGACGACTACAAGTCAGCAATGTGGTCAGAAGGTGACCAGGCTGCCGGGCAAGTCACTGTCAGGACTGACCGAGCAGCTGCCCAGGAACTGCCTACGCAGAGCGAGCGAGCTGTCCCACTAACCCTCTGAGATCCTCACTGCTTAACTCAGCCCCTCTTGCCTAGAAATACCCCAGGGACTATATGGATTTCACCCATTTTTAAATCACCTCATTTCATAACATTCAGATTGCAGTTACTTACTTTTCCTTGGCAAAGGCGTGCCAGCTAGGTAGCGATAGGAAATGTTTATAGATCCTGAGAAATTAGACAAATCTTTAAAAGTGTGAACATAGCGCTCTGGGTTGAGCTGGTGCGTGGCTGTTTCTCTGATTAATTGCTTGTCCCCTTCCTATTAGTGAGAAAACAAAAAGAATAGGAGAGGGAGAGAGACAGAGAGAAACACATTTGTGAATGCCAGCCAGAGAGGAAACACGGACAGGCAGGTTTCCAAGAATAACATTTTTCAGTGTCAGCTTTCGTGAAAGCATGTAGATGTCACCTCATTTTTTTTAAAAACCCATTACTGAATATCATACATTTTTGGCTACAGAAAATCTACCATAACCCTTCAGATTACGGTAACAGGAAAAGAAAAAAAAATATTTTGGACAAAAACTCTGGAAAGATTGCAAACAGTAAATTATTGCCAAAAAATGCTGCGGTATTCAAAATAGGGATAAGAAAGCATCAGTCAGCAACAGATGAGATAATTTTCATACATGGAGAAGTGGGGGAGATTTTTTGAAAATATTTTCAGTGATTAAAAAAAACCCACCAAAACTGTTGCAAAGGAAAGACGAAACTAGATCCTGGCATCTGGCTCATTTTGCCATTTTTCTGAGTAGCTCCGGCTCAGATTTGTGATAAGAGGAAATGCATGTGATCATCCAGACAGCCAAGGCTTTCTCTGGAGTTGGTGAGCTCTGTTTGGTGGTATAGAAAAAAGGCAAATTTATCACCACCCCTCCTCTTCCTGCCTCCTTCTCCTCTCTCTTTCTTCCAAGAGGCTTCCCTAGCCGTAGTAAAGTCACTCAAGGGAAGGAGCGGCTTCATCAGCAGTGCCCTATCCATAAGCTCACTTGGGTCTCAGGGCTGTTCCTTAGTCCTGAAGAAGAGGGAAAATACCTAACGAGTTGTCGTGTCATGAGACTGAATTTAAAGGTAGGAATGCTTATTTAATTTACATGGCTTGATTCTAGTCTGACAAGAGGCCAGTGTATGAATGAATTAATTTCTTCTGATAGATACAGTATGTTAACACACTAATCTGTCATTAAATGGGAGCATTGCGCAGTGATAGTACTGCCGCTAACAAGAACAAACACAGAAACAGTAAACAGCACTCATATTTAATGGTATGAATGTTCAAAAATGTGTCAAAGATATATTTTATAGCACAAAGAAATATTTCTGTAAACTGATCCTAGGTTCATTTTAAGTTCATTATTTTTCTTTCATAGAAGTAGTAAATAATCCACTTCCGAGCTTAGAAAAGGTCTTTGGCGGACATCCAGGGGCATCTACCCGCACTGTTACGCTCTCTTGATCTGCAATGTCTCTCCAGTAATTTCTTTCTAGTGCTGCTGTGCTGCCTTGCATTTGCTCATAAGTTATGAGCGAAAGGTTTATGTTGATCAGATTCCAGATTAAAATGTAACTCAATGGGCTAGGAAGAGAGTGCACCAAAACTTCAGGAGATTTTCCATGAAAACTGTCAAATGGGGAAAAAAATGGACTGGTCCAAAAACTTTCTTTTTTTAAAACCAGCCTTTCTTTAATGTCAAAACATTATGTGTCATTGGTTCCAGAATGGAGCACCAAAATTTTTTGTTTCATAAGAAGGTTTTGGAAATGGAAAACCATTCTGCTGAGGTTTTTCTACATAAAAAGTTTCAAAATGTTTAGAAAAAGAGAATGTCAGGACAAAATGTTTTGATTTTAACAAGCAAAATATTTAAACTGACCACAAAAATGTTCTTTTTTTTTTCTCTTTAAGAAATGCCTTTTGTGGCTAACAATCTTTTTTTTTTTTTTTTAAAAAAATTGTTGTTGGTTTCATTCCTTCTTGAATGAAAAGCAAAATAAAAATATGGATTTTTCAAAACATTTAAAATCTGATTCTTCTACCTCTGACTACTATGCAGAGGTCAGTGAAGCTGAAGAGCTTGATTAGCTCTCTTTAGCTGTCTTCTCTAATTTTTCTATGATGGTTCTGGCTTTCATCTCTTAACTAACCTCTAACTTACATTCCAGTGTTTGCTGGAGCTTGGGAGATTCCTGTGGGTGCCATGGGACAAGGTGCCAGAAGTTCTCCATTATTTATAGAGATACTCTGCTCTGCTAAGAATGCTGTGTTAGCTCCAATAGTACTATTGTTTCCACAGTGCCCCAAATAATTATTAGTATTCATAGAAGAGTGCAGAAGGCATGCTTCACTTACAGTTCACCTACAACTCAGAATATGTATAAAAAAACCACTGGAAATATTGTGATATCTGGTTATATTAATTCAGTATGTCTTAAAAATATTTGATCAGACGTGGTTCCCATGCTGCAGATGAAGCACCTTAAACTGCTCTGCTGACACACATGCATCAGCACTGCATACCTCCTATCAAACGTACTTAAGCAAGTTTCCCAGGTGGGCCCTTATTTTCTATTTCCACAGCAAATGCCCTGCAGAAAACAGTGAAGAGATTCTTCAGACATGTGAAAGCCTCTGAGCTAAAAGGAAAAGTTCTCCTCTCCCTTCTGAAGATTTGCTGCAACGAATCTTGCTTTGATATTCTAAGATCCCGAAAAAGGCCACTCATCTGGTCTTACATCTGGTGAAAGAGATACCAGCCCTGCATCCCCTCGCACAGCCTGCTGCCTGAGACTGGGAGACAAACTCAGGGTGGGTTGCCTTCCTCTATCAGCTACCATCAGGAGATACTCCAGCAGGAGACTGGCTACAATTAGAAAGTTGGAGGGCCGTCAGGGCTCCGAGGACTTTCAGATTCCCATTCCCCAGGGGGAACTGGTTAGCCTGGTGTCCTTGAAAGCTATCCCCAAGTGTATCTCTCCTCACCGCCAACACTGAAACTGCTCATCTTTTACCTCAGCAGAGAAAACACACCAGACAAGTTAACGGAGCTGTCAGACATGGTCAGGAAAGTTGAAAATAAAAATAAATAAATAAACTAAAAAGTCAACAGCCTAACACATTTGAAAAACACTTGATGGACCATAAAGGTATCAAGAGACCTGGGAGAACTGTCAAGAGACTTGGCAAGAGACTTGGCTGGGAGCTACATGAATGCAAACATGCCAGAACTGTGATGAGAGAAGCAATGAAAGAGAGTGAATTTCTAAAAAAGGGGGGAAAAAGAGCAAATTAAGAATAAGACATGGAGCCATCTGGGGAGCTGGCAAATAGGAGAGGAAAAGATTTCAAAAACAAACCAAGAGGAACACCATTAGCAGTGATAATAAAAGCACTTTCAGAAACATCTGGGGGACTTTGAAGCAATTAGTGAACAGAGAAGAAGCATCAAGGAAAATACCACTGGAAAAAAAAAATCGTGTGATAAGCCATGTCAAATTCAATCACAACCAAGAAATGATGAATAAATAAAACATAGTGCAAAACCTTAGTGCAAGTACTGTTAGAGAAAGCAATACGTCTGTAATGGAGCAAGATGCTAGAAGCATGGGCTATCTTTTCAATGGTAAAAAAAAAAGTAAAAAGTACTAGTGTGGTCTGAATAATATTGTAAATATTTATAATATTGTTATAAGTAATGTTATAAATAAAGTTATAATGTTATAAGTGAAATATTTTAAATTAAAATCACTATCGATGGTTCTGATAAATTAATGTAAAGATTTTACTGCTTGTGTATTGCACTTTTTTCACACTATAGTGGTTTTTTTCAGATCCAGCTGAGATCGGACTTCACCTTTCAGAATGTTGGAAAGCCCATACTGTCCCAGTTTGATGAATCAGACAAAGGGTGGCATAGAGGATCAGAAAGCCGCTCAGTAGTTCAATTCAAGATCAAGAAAGAGGACTGTCTAATCATATCACAATGTTACATATTCAGTTTAGTCATTTTACTATTTGCAAGCTCCAGTTATTAAGCTACCATGTTCTTTTACTGGGCCCAGTCCAACCTCCGAATAACTGGAAATTCAATCCATTGATTGAGTCTTCAGGGCTTACTTGGCATTCAGCACCGAGACACCCTTAGGTTACATATAAACTGTAGAGCTACATTACATTGTTGGTAGCTTACTTGTTGAAATTCCTAACACAAACCCTTCCATAAATCTTTTTCACAGTCATAAACTTACACTAGGTATCATTTATGTCTAATTGTTAATGCTGTAGCACTGAACCCACCAGACTCAAATCTGAGATACAGAAAGTGAGAAAAACACAAAATGAAAGCACTAAAAAGAAATTATTCATGCAAGGATCTTAAAACATATGGAATTAGTGTAAGTTCTCTTCTATAATTGTATTTCTATAGTATTGTGTAATACAGTATTCACAGGTGAGATCTGCAGTGCGGACTGAAGAAGGAGCTCCTAGCTCACATGAATATTTCAAATGTAGGCAATTTACAACATTAAAATTGAGGGAAATCCAGAAGTATGGAAAATACAGGGGAAGTTTTGACTCAAAGGAAGATACCTGATTGAGATATCTCCATGTTTTGCTACATTCATTATCTTCCATACTTCCAATAAACAATGACATATTTACTTCTGTGAAAGGGACTGTTTGGGTCTTACTGACACACCCTGTGTGCAGTATACATCGATAACATCGCTTCATCATAAAAGGACACATTTTGAGAATACCTCACTGTTAATGGTACACTAACAGGGGAATTGCAGGAATTATGAACTTTACTGCTTAACTAGGGATGTGTCTTGTTCTGTCGTTCCAGGATCATTTCTTCCATCTAAGAAACTTACCAAAACATACCCATCTTCAATGTACAAGTTCATGAACAGCAAGCAAATGACAAGGACTCCTAAGAATGACACTGCTGATCGTTTCCGCAAGCATCTCATCTTATCAAAATATTTCAAGCTGTGTCTCATGTGAAGAAAGGCATACAGTAGTGTCACCTATGAAAGAAAACCACAGTATTACAAGAACTGCCCATCTGATAAACATGACAGCAAAAGAACTTACCTTTAGGTGCATCAAATCCCTTCAAACACACATAGACTACACATTTTAAGGTGGAATTAATTTCATTTAAACACTGTCATCTTCAAGTTTAATTTACAATCTTAACTATAATTTAAGCTTCCTTTTTTTTTTTTTTGGTCAGTAAAGAAAAAAGCACACTTTGTCCTACCCATTTTAGGCTGGAATTATGATGTCACTGTAGCAGGAATGCATCAGCAGTTCAGTTTCCCATGTATAACTGTCAGATTCCAACTTGATGGTGAAAGATGATGTACCTGTGTACCTGTGTCTCCTTCCAAAGACAGCTCAGGCCAAAGGGCAAGGAAGAAGCTATTGCCTGACTCAGTATCATTGCCAATAGGAGTGTTCTGGATGCCAGAACTGCCAGGCACAAATGATGTACCTTCCCTGCGGTGCGGAGGCAGTAGCAAGACTGTGCAGCATCCCTTAGCCTTAGATCTCTGTACTAGGATGGAAAAACTCTCACTGGAGGCATCATTTTCTCCAGAAGGAGAGAGGTGGATGTCTACCTTAGACCAGACACATCTAAGCAGAGCACTGGGAAGTCCCTATTGCCCCAATTAGATGAATCAGTCAAATAAGGGTGGTGTAGAGGATCAGAAAGCCACTCAGTAGTTCAATTCAAGATCAAGAAAGAGGACTGTCTAATCAAATCACAATGTTACGTATTCAGTTTAGTCATTTTACTATTTAAAACAAGAAGAATGCTGTTCTTGGCTACCAAATCATAAGCATTAACCTGTGAAGGACTACATGTTTTTGAATAAGATCTGGCCACAAACTAAAGAAACAGACTCCAGATCAGACTGCCCAAACTCTTAAGAGATTCTTAACTCAAAAGTAGATTATAAGCTCATTATTCATGTTCTCATTTGTTTAAGTACAAATGTATTTTGGCTATTGTCCATAAAAATGTCTGATTTTTCTATCAAATTTAATATATAGAAGTCATGTACAAATGGAGAGTTTAAAGCTAGCCTATGTGAAGTAGCAAATAGCACTGCATGTGCAGTGGCTAAACCCTGCATTTAAACACCTTCATTTTTGAAAGTACCAAACATCTAAACTGATGCAAAATAGGCCAAATTAGGAGTTCCATAAAAGATATGTCATGTCATATAGAAAATTTTCTGGCCTAATAACAAAAAACCTTCCAAGTGCAGAATTCAATCTATATTTGTTTTGCCAAACTGATTAAATATATCTAACAGTAAAAAATATGAGTCCATTAGACTCTAGAGAACAGGGAGGTAAATACATCAAGTATTCGTAACGCAAATTTAACTGCAAGGTTTTGCCTGTATAGATTCAAGAGGAACTGGACACCGGTTGTACACAGAATGATTTTAAAATCACCAGGTTGAGAGTAAGAACAACTTACATGTTGCACAAAGGAGAAAAAATTAAAATAATAACAATATAGATTTCTGTCCCTATTTATTTGAGGGTGGGCTGAATTGCAGTGGGCTGATTAGCCTGAAGCTGAAAAAGCCCAGTGTAGCTATTTTTAGGTTACAGCAATGATTTCCTTTTCCTTAATATCTAATGAAAATAAACATCAGGAAGAAGCTGTCAGGGCCATGAATCTCCAAACTCTTGCTCTCCCCACCTGTGAGAGCGCAGTTGTTGCTGTGTGTCTGTGGATTCCAGCAGGCTGTTGTGGAAATGAAAGATTGCCCCTGCTTGAGAAAAGACCATGTTACACATACAGTTTGAGTTTCATTTTGTTTCTTTTTTTGTTTTTCTTTTTCTCCCAGTATAACTACTGATTTTCAAAGCAATACTCTTTTTAAAACTTATCAGAGGATCACTGCACGGATTAAATACTGACAGTTCTCAGATAATGGCGTGAACTAGCCTGACTATTGAATATCCAAGTAGTCTGGGTCGGAGTGTTTGCAGCCACTGGCAGCTTCAGGTGTAGAGGTGCACTACAGCTGCACCTATTGAATTTTTTATTCAGAAAACTTGGGAATAAACAAATGTTTTTTCAGTCACAGGATGACTGTATGTGCCATATTTGCTGATTGGACTGTGGTGTTACACAGTTCCCTCGTCTTTGCTCTGAGCAGCCTGACTGAAGTCCCTAAGGGTGAGGAAGGGGACTTGTAACTATATTTGCTGGTCATACTATATTAGTTTTTTCCCCACTGCAGTTTTCATTAGATTGTTACTATGTTGGATTAGGAATAGAAATTGAGGGAATTACGCAGGTGAGACTGGAGGAACATAGGACTGTCATTATGAAAGCTGATGTACAGAAAGAGAAGGCCACCGTTCGGAGGAAACCCCTTGAGTTTCTTGTGTCGGCTTCACACGAAGTCATGACAACACTTCTGGTTTACGGATAGAGTCCGTCAAACAGCTGAAAGCAAAACACCATTCCAGTGGGGTTTCTTTGTTCGTAAGAGCTGTTGGTGGGTTCCCACAACCCAAAGGGAAGGACTCCCCAAGTAGGGCGCGACCCGTGCGGGATGTTGCGTCACGGAGGAGACAGTGACGCCATCACTAACACCAGATGGCAGTGCGGATGCGCACTCGCCAGCCTTCAACCTGCTCCTAACCCTATTCCTGCCAACCGGTTTGTCTGAAGGTACTCTGTGACATACTTATACTGTAAGCCTTTAGCTAAAAATGTGCACCGACTCATACATATATACATGCAGAATTCCTTACATCTTCCTAGAGCTGCTGCTTCTTGCAGCTCCGTTTCCAATCTGTAACATGGCTTTGTGGAACACTACACAAGCGACATTTGCAAGGAGGAAAAGGTAAATTTTAGCTTTTTTGCAGATGATGTCAGTCACCTTTTGAAAAATACTCAGAACTTCCCACAGTGAGACCCCTGATGTTCTTTAAGATCATTTGAGCAGAAGAGTCACCATTACTCAAAACTAAGACTTTGATATTGAAAAAAAGGCTTCAATTCGTAGTTCAATTCCGAAGTCACAGCTTTGCTTGAAGATTTTATGCCTTCATTATTCATGCACAATTAAGTATCTATTAGGATGGTATAAATGCAATTTGTTTCATAAAGCTGGCATTAAGCAGTTAAATGTAGTAATTAATAAACCTGCATGAATTATAAATCTTTTCCTTTCTAAATGAGACGTATCATTTTCCTCAGTCTCTTAAGAGAGAACTCTTAAGACCCCAGATCCCTATGCACATGTATGTGTTGCTATCACACATATACATGTGCAGTTTTACATAGTAATATGAAACTATAATTCTTTTGACTTTCTAAAATGATACAGCAATGAAAAGACAGTGAGCTAAAAAATGCAATGACGTACCTTCACAGTGTGAAGTAGCTGTTCTCTATGGGATCTGCAAAGGTGTGAAAGCTGTGTAAAGGTCAAGACCGATTTTCACATGATAATGTGATGTTTTTTCTTGCAGAATTTGCAACAGAAGAATTTAAAAAATTGTTTTAAAAAGCAAATCCTGAATGACCTTCCAGTAAGAGTCTGTTCTTAACAAGCCAAGTCCTTGAAACCAAAACATGAAATTAAAATATTGAAATTTAAAGCTGTTAAAATTTTTAAACTTATTTCCCTTTTGATGTCAGTGTAGCTGTTTCCAAGAGGAAAAAATGAGACAAAGCAAGATTTTTTCCTTATTTTCCTCTTTTCAGAGGAAAAGGCTTTTTTGCCAGCCCCGCAATAATTTCTCCAGACCACATACCTGCACACTCACTGTGGTGAACCATTTCATATTCAATCCACTCTAGTTCTTCATCACTTTCTGATGATACTAGGGATTTGTGCTTTGACTTGCTTTCAGAGATTATTGTTTACTTTCCTGATCTGCTTCCTCCTCAGACAGATACATTAAAAGGCCCTGTGGTGTTCCTTTACCCTTAAGTATGCCGACCTGAGTTAATGACTTAGCCTTACCTAACCAATACAGTGAATCTGCTTGTATCTATAGATGTATAGAGATGAAGCAACAAGGTCATCTTCATATTATATCTCGGTCTGAGTGCTGTGCCCCAGCAACTCAAGAAAAGTTGCTTATTTGCAGAGGAACTGATGGCTGTCAGAAATGGCAACTGCATTATTTTTATACTGTATTTCCAAATCAGGCGCATAGCTTTGCCTGTCACTGCAGAGTCTGTATTCCAGGAGGTACAGCAGAGCAGATCCACTACCACATTTATTGTATCAACAAATCCACAGATAACACACAAAACTCCCATGATTGGATCATTAAACCCCTTGTGAACTTTATTGCAATCCCTGATTTGACTAAGACACTCAGAAGCAGGTATTTCATTCCTCAGCCTTGTGACATACCATTCTACCATTGTATAACTGAATTGCTTTACTTGCAGTTCTTACTGCTTGTCCAACTTGTTTTTCAGCTTTTCTTTCTGGAAGGTTGCACATGATGCCTCAAGGATTGCATTCAGTCCTCTTTACAAAGTGGCAAAGGAAACACTTTTGGAAAAAAAAAAAAGGAAAAAAATAGAAAATAAAAAAAAGGAAATTTTTTCTATGGTTATTAAATTTTGCATATATCATGGTCTTCTTATACAAGACGAAAAAAAACAAACCCTAGGTTGTGATATACATTGGAGCTACGGTTGGTAGTGTACTGCACAATTATAATGGATAGGGTATTCCATGGGGCTCAGATATACTCCCAGAAAGATTCACTGTCTGTCTTACTCAAAGCCTGAAACTGCATATAAAATGTTTAAGGCTGACAGGCAGGATGTTTGCTGTGACTGGCAGCAGGGAGGTAAAAACTGGTCTGAGGGAAAGGAAGGTTTAATTCAGAATGAGGCTAACAAATCCAGAGGGTAGAGCTCAGGTTTTAAACTGCTCATAAGTACATTTTTTTGGATGGCTTACCATTGTGTAGCTCCACATGCTCTAAA